AGGTAGTATTGATTTGTCTTCTAGCTCCACTAGTCTGGCTTCCATCTCTTCAATTCTACTCCTTTGCCCTTCCAATGCACTGTCCATTTCTGATATTCTGCTATTGTTTGGACCTCTTTTGGATGGTGTCCAAAGCTTTTTATTCCTGTAGTGCTTTCCTGACTTATTTTTCTCAACTTTTCTGTTAAGTGTTTTGATACATTTTGTTATCATTTTTCTGAATTCCTACTCAAGCCTTTACAAAGCCTGCCCTCCTTCCATTATGAAGTCAAGGTCTACCTCCAGCTCATTTGTCTCAGTCACTTTGTTCCTGCATGTCCAGAGACTGTCATCTGTTTCTTGGGAATAGTTAGTTGGCTGTGACCTTAATACTTAAATGTGTGATTTGGTAGTTCATTATGCTGTCAGAGTGCCTCTAGGTAGATGTGATCCCTTTTCACTCATAATACTCCACAGGGTAACTGTTGCAGGTGTTGGCTACCTATCTGGTGTATGGCAGCTGGTATTGGTTCTTGCCTGGATGGCATTTTATAGAATGTGATTGTCGTTGACTGTATGTCCACAATTGCTGTTTCTTACTGGGTAATATAGGGAACAAGCCCTCTAAAGGTAAAGAGGGGACCCAAAAACAAAACAGCAACATGTGAAAAAAATAAGATACTGTAGTCTATAATTGCAGAAAAGAGAGGAAAAAAAAAATTCTGTACACAAAACATGACTTTACTGTGCCTCTCTCGGCTTCTTGCCTCCAAGGCCGCCTGAGATATTTCAAGATGCCACTGTTATTATGATGTAATTTAGGATTTAGTTTACAACCTGTGCCCTTTTTAGTCTGCCTGTCCTGGTCCACAACTCCGTTCAGGCCTTTTTCCTAGTGATAAACAGTTCTGGGCCGGCTGTGGCCGTTTGCACTGCCATTTGGTTTTAAGTGGAAACTAAATTTTGAGATTTGTGCGCATGTGTAGTTGAACCCTCTGGGGGCGGAGGGGGTGTGTACTCGCTCAGGCATCCCCTGTAGTCACCAGAATGGAGTTGTGCAGACAGAGAGACCAACTGATCAAAGAAAAATAATCTATACCTGTATCTCCAAGGATCAGTCAGGAGTCAGGCCTCTGGCTGCTCTGATCCTTCCCCTGTTCCATCTTGCCCAAGATGGCTTCTTCGGGAGCTGCGGAGGTCAGAGGATCCGCAAGCACTGGATTTCTTGCTTCCGCTACAAATTCCACTCACTGTAAACCTTCAAACTTTTTCCTAAAATATGTGGTTCAGAGTTCTGGGACCATCTCCTGAACCTGCTTCATTCGGTTTTCTGTTATTGCTTATAGAGATCCTCACTGCACTTCTCCCTGATCCATCATCAAGCCCCGCCTCACATGATAGAATTTTGAAAGATCAATAATTTATTAATAACTTTTCTCAATAAAGCAAAAAATGGCAACTATACTCGTGTACCTTACCAGATGGAATGCAAAATGACTACATGTGTAGGAAGACGACAGGGAAGCTCAGTATAGGTAGCCAAAACAATAGACCAACAACTACTCGTAAATTCAAATTAGATTCAGACGAAGACTTGGAACAAGGGTTATCGTTGCTGATGTCAGATGGCCTTGGTTGAAAACAGAGAATACCAGTAAATTCTTTTCTTGTGCTTATTGATGATGCAAAAACATTAGACTATGTGGATCATAACTATGGATAACATTGTGAAGAATAGGTATTCCAGAACACTTCCTGTGCTCATGAGGTATCTGTATCTAGACCAAGACTGAATGACTTAAAAATTAGGAAAGGTGTGTACCATGGTTGTATCTCTTTTAGAAATTGAATTATATATAGAACATGACACCAGGGCTGGAGAAGACTCCAAACAGCCAAAATGTTTAGAAGCAAGGACATTGGCACTTACTTCATCTCTTGTACTTTGGACATGTTGTCAGGAAGGACTAGTCCCCAGAGAAAGACAACATGAGTAGAAAAGTAAAGAGTCAGCGAAAATGAGGAAGATTCAGACTGTAATGGACTATACAGCAGCAGCAGTAAATTGCTCGAACAACTGAGAGAGAGCACTGTTTTGTTCTGTTTATGTATAGGGTCACTATGAGTCGGAACCATTTCCATGGTGGCATGTAATTCAGAATCAACTAGATGGCAGTGAGTTTGGGTTAACATATAAAATCTTATCAAACAAGTTTAGAAGTGTACATACAGAGAACAGAGATATACATCAAAATGTCAAATGATGGTTGGGATCTTAAGATGTTTTTAATGTACTTTTTATGCTTTTCCATTATTTCCAAAATACACAGGTAGTTTCTTTATAACTAGAGAATTAAAAATCCTAGTAATCGTTATTTTTAAATTGCTAACCCAAAGGTCAGAGGTCCAAGTCCATCAGCTGCTCCTCAGAAACTTTATTAAGGGTCCTTATGAGTCAGAACTGGTGCTGCTGGTGTGGCACTGTGTGTTAATGTGCCAGACTGCAAAGTCGGTGGTTCAAGCTTACCAGCAGCTCCTTGGGAACCTTAGACAGGGTCGCTATGGGTTGGACTCAACAGCACGTAACAACAACAACAACATGAGTCAGAACTGACTAGAGAGCACTTAGCAATATTTTCTCTTTGCCTGGAATATTTTTATCCGGATCTCTTTCTGAAGGCATTCAAACAATTTCAAGAATTAACTTCAATTTCTTTTAACATGGAAAAATAATAAACAACTTATATGTTCAACAGAAATACTTATTTTATCACACATTCATACCAGCGAGCATTATACAGCCACTGGCAATTGTTTATGAAGTATTTAAGGACATAGGAAACTGCTCAAAGGAAAAAGATATAAAATTCTATAGAATTATAAAATATGCTAAAAATAGAACAGACTAGTACCAAACAATGTCAAAATGTCTGGGAAATACTCTACTAATGAGTTTTAGTTCTTTATGCTTTTCTGTATTTTCTAAATTTCCATTAAGTATATTATCAAAAACTTTAAAAACTTTTTTTAAACACAGTATTAAATGTATGACCAAGTGCAGTTGTCTTGGAAATATGCCAACTTCCAAATACCTCATTTCTCTTTCCTGTTTCTTCAACAATGGCGCTCTGAAGCATGAGAGGAAACATGAAGTAAAAGGCAATTTTTATACGGCAGCTTATTTCCGTTATAATTTAAAAATTTTCCCTGGCTTTGATATAAGATACAAAACATAAGACATCTTTGGGAAGGGAGTAGAAGACAAAACAGATTTTTATCTGCATTGTTTTAAGTATCTTTTCTTTCCTTTTAATGTGAGCTCAAGACCTTTTGGAAAACATTTGTGGTATCTCTGGAATATATTCGGGGCTTTGAATCATGTCACTACATAAACCTACAAATTTATATTTAATAGTTTTCTGGTAACAAAATTACTAAGGTAGTTGTGGGAAATCAGCCAAGTGGGGAATTTATCACATACTGAACTGCAGAGGTTTACCAGATTTTCTTTAAAGTCTTTTGTCTATAATTGTTTAGAAAATATGACTAATAAACTTCAGTGTTAAAACAACGTTGGCCTCTTCTAGGTAAAAACAAAGCCTCTGAGATCAACTCTGCTACAAAGTCCTTTTCAGTCAATCAAGATGAAAGATACTACTGGTTTGGCTGCCTCTTCCACTGATGAAGATGAATGGCAAAACCTCTTAACAAATCAAATAAATGAAATTGAAAAGTTCCTAAATTCAGAAAGTGACAACCAACCTAGAAAAAGAAAAGCAGATGAAATATAGGAAGAAACATGAAAATAATGCTGGTAAATGCTTTCTTTCAATAACGTATGGATGTAATTGAAATACTGATGTAGTATTGTATAGAATGAAACGATTAAAGTCTTAGAGTTGTCATTTCCCAATGCTTTCTGATGATTTAATTATATTACTTGCTATCTACTCTGCAAAAGCTTCAAGATAGTACATATGCAAGCAGTTTGCTCATAGCATCAACTCTCCTTAATTAGAAATGTGTACATTATGATTTCCCATCCATAGTCTCACTTCAGAACTCCTTTAAAACCCTTCTTTATAGAACACAACTTATGGGGAATTATACAAGATAGACATATTGACCTTTTCTAAATACTACTTTGTATTTTAGAGTTTGTGTGATTTCTTTCCCTTTAAATGAGAATACCCAGACTATAGTTAAATTTGTTTATGTTTTACTATGAGTTAGATATTTCCACGCCCAAAAAATGCACAAAATTAAATTCATAAAAATTCATGTATCAGAAAGACTCAGCAGGCTGTTTTTCACTTTGTTCAAGTTTTGTTTCCAGGCGTTAAGTGTGTCATACAGTTGTTGCCATTGCTGCTTTCCAAATGTTCGATGTGTACTATGACTAAAAATTAAAAAGATAAAAAAAAAATTAGCCAACCTTTTATCCTATGGCCTTCATTTTCAAACACTACACACTTCTGACTAGTTAAAAGCGAGAGTAAATATACAGTAAAGACAGTTTACAACAGTAAGAAATTTTAAAAATTAGATATTTAGTTTTCAAATCTTTACCATTTTGGTCCTAAACCTTGTTCCTACTGAACAACTACATGAAGCAGACACAAAAGACATTAGTATTCTAGCCAATGCTGAGCCATTAAATGAAATGTGCTGGAAAATAGGACTCTTTCATTAAATAAGCTAATCACTTTCAGTCTGAACTTTAATAAAATTATGATAAATAGCAACTATTTAACTACAGTCAACTGATAAAACACCACCTTTGTTCTAGTTAGAATACTAAACACTCAAGTGAAATAACCTGTGAAAACTTAGTCATCTCACGAAATACTGCAAAATAGTAAATGTCTTACCTGACAACTACTTTTCTCTGGGTCTGATCAATTTTGCAGTAGACCATTTTAGTTCTTACTGCTGGAAAAAAAACGTTTTACATGGTATGTCAGTTATATACAACAATTCCAAGGAAAATCGCTAAGGTATGAAAGAAACTGTGACCAACTAAGCCATAATAAAACTTGACATTATTTTCCAACATTATTTTACTGTTTGAATCTAGTAATAAGCAAAGCAATGTGATAAAAGGCATTCATCACTCATTTATCCTATGGCTGCTTGGCCTATTTATATTAAATGAATATTACATATAGTTTTTATTAAGAATTCTAGCTGTTGTCCCTACAATTACATTGAGGTGAGGGGCAGCAGCGAATTTCATAGCAAGATACCATGTCTTTATAAGACGGCTGGATTTAGATAATTTCAAAGAACTATGCCAACTATTATATATATTTTACAAATCTTAATCCCTGAAACTTTCAGATTAAAAAGCTAATGGTTTAAAACAATTAAATCACTTTACAATGCAATGGTTGTGGATAGGGTCCTGTGTTTCCAGACTAATCATATAAAATGGCTAATGGTTAACATTTGTACATCATTTACTATGTGCAAGGCACTGGTCTAAATGCTTTACCTGCATTAATACATGGAATCCTCATAACCAAAAATGAAGTATATTTCATAGAGAACAACCTGTTTTCAAATCCAGGTTGACCTGACACTAGAATCTGTGCTCTCCGTCTACTATGTATACTGCCCAAAAGGCATTTATTTGTTCTATGTGATTTCAAAGAGGAGGAGAAATACCAAAAAACAGAAAGTAGTTTATAGTGCCAATGAATTTGCAGTCAACTACAAATATCCCTTAATTTACTAAACATACACACTTGCTATAACACAACCTACTAATATAAGGCACAGTTCCAAGATCAAGTGTATGTTCCACGTGTTGTTGTTGTAAGTGCTACTGAGTCAGTTCCGACTCACAGCGATCCTATACAGGGTTTCCAAGGAGCGGCTGATGAGCTTGAACTGCCAACCTTGAAGTCTTGTGCATTATCTAACAGCGCCACACCAGGACTCCACAATTCAATGTAGTAGAGATAAAAATGAAACTGTTCCAGTAGCCTTACCATCAATAACAAATGCTTCAACGTCATCAGCTCCAATCTGAAGTTCTTGTTGCATTGTGTCAAATGAAATTTCTTTATTTTCCACAGCCATTCCCATAAAAGTAAGTAGTCTCATTTTTGCCATGTTCTGCTCATGTAAGAGTCCTGAATAACAGTAGTGAGCTTGATGAGTATCCACACTAATGACAGACCTGCAGTCACAACTCCTGTGATGGAGTACTTATACTGAATAATTCTGACAGTTTCATGTATATAAACTGACCCCACAATTAAATTATAAAGTACTTAAAATTATCTTTTCTTGACATACATTTCCATATTTCTGTTGTGCCTTAGCTAACAGATTCAAAGTCATGAATGGGTTATAAAATTATATTTTTAAGCCCTAAAAGTATCATGCTTTGCATTTTACGTATTTATATACTTCAGGAGATAAAAAGTACATTTCATAAGAACATTCTCTATTTAACTAATTTTCAGTTAAGCTTATTTTCACTAATAGCTCTCATTTAAATATAGGATTCCTCATCTCCTAGTTTTTCTGTGTGAATCTTACTGGTAAAGGAAGTTTCAAAATATTTTTATAAACACTTTGAGTTATGAAAACATTCCACTTCTCAAGTCACTTTGAATACTTGGGACTTAAAACTGCTAAAGCAAATTTATCATTTAACACAGGCTTTCATAGTTAGTACTAGACAGAATTAAATATCACCATTAATAAATGGCACTTGTTTTTTCTATGGCAAAAATAGAAAATTATAAAAGTAATTCAAGCTTTACATTAGAAATTGTAATGAAACATGCTATCAAACTTTTTAGATCACAAGTAATTGTTAGACCTACAAGGAAACTTAATGAATTACTTCTTTCTGCTCTTCTCATGTTAAAAAAAAATAAAACTGAGGATAAGAGACTAAATGTCTTAAAAGCCAACAAAGTGGCAATGACAGGTCTAGAATATAGGTTTATTTGTAAACAAAGCACTATTTCTAGGGTAAATAAATATTTACAAATCCTGAATATCCAAATTTATTACCTGGTCCTAAATAGTTAAGGTGACAAAAGAATATTGATGCTAATTTCCTAATTATAAAAACATATTTCAAAAAAAGGGAATGTAGAATCATTTATTTTTTCTTTCTCTGAACTTTCAAATTTTGTACACTCAGCAAATGGTTATCTTTTGCCCTCTAATAATTCAAAGCCTCAAGTTCATTCGGCTAAAAAAGTTCTCTTTCTAAGCACTCCATAAATAAGTTAAAATTTATAACATTCATATGGAAGACTAGATAAGCCCATTAATATAGGGCATAATCGTCTATTAATTAGCTGTAATTATGCTACAGACTTCCTATTTGGCACACATTCAACAAAAACATGATCATCATAACTCAAACGAATAAGGTACACAAGTAAGCATTGCTAACTGGGTTTAATGGAAATCTACAAGCATCAAGAAATCAATTAGTGCACATTAACCCTAATTAACAAATGCAAATTAGATGCTGATTGACTTTCTGAAGCAAAAAGGTAGCAACTAGATAACACCAGATTTAATGTGGACATGTTAGGGCAATTCAGTTGACACAAGATAATTCTGTTGGCTCAAGTTGTCAATGTTAATAAAACAACAAAGTGTAACAACTGATGCCACCTGTAGAATCTAAATGTGTGTAACCACAGAACTTCAAGGATAGTAAATGCTTAACAATATATCTAAAACAAACTAAACATATTTAATAGTTTACCCACGCATCTTATATAAAGACATTTCTAATAAAAGATTGTTAATGTGCACAGATGTTCAAGAAACAAAAGGCAAATTAGGGTATTTGATTTTAGTTGACACAATAAATTAGAAATGTCATGATCTTAGGAGGGGGCTTTAAAGTTTGTGGGAAAAGTCCACTATCTTTTAATTCCATTTTCCCACAAAGTTATTGAAGCCCCCTCATATTTCCTACAGCAGAGGGCAGATTCTAAAGATTTTCTCAGTATCTACAAACGTGAAAAAATCCCGCAACTCTTCCTGTGATAGGATAACAAATCATTTTATGATAAAATGCTAGAACTAGGCCTGAAAATTTTAAGATGTAATCCATGTCAACTGATCAGAGAAATGATTTCTCTTATGAATTACATAAACCATTATTTATCCTATCCCTAGAAACATGAGTATAAAAACACTTCAAATTGATACTTAGTCACTATTTGAAAACAATTAAGCTTCAAGTCTTTAGGTCTCTTGTTTTCAAAATTCAAACTTTTAAGCCAGTGAAGTGTGAGTTAGACTTACAGAAAGCTGTGCTTTGTTTCACAAAACTAGGACACTATTTTCAATGATGGAAGTCAGTCTTCAGTGTCATATTTCAATTTCAAAGTTATAAAAAAAAAATCTAATTTTATGGAAACATTTATTCATTACTAATATGTCAAAACCTTAATGTAGTAATAAAAAAATGTGCATCATTGAGCAATTTCGGCATTGTCACTGACCCGTCTTAAAATGCTGCAATATAGAAAACGCAGTTTTAATGCATGCAATAGCTTATGAACCAGTGCTCCTTTGAAACAGTCAATTACACATCAATGGGGGAGTGTCAAAGTGTTAATTACTACTCCTTTTTCCTTGGTGCGTAAATAAAGAGGTTGCTGACATTAACATTCCATCACATAGCTTCATGCCACAAAACAAATTAACTGGGACAGAATGTGGTTTTCTAGGTCTAATGCACCTGGTAAAGCTTTTTACATATACATACTTGCAACTACTTCATATCAGTGTATTTAAATGCCTTACTATGTTC